CAAAGACAATAATAATTGGAAACATTAATTTTGATTAATTGATTATTTTTGCATCCAGGCTGTTTGGTACATGTCACTACATTTTACAATGTTACATTCAAACTCCAATTGAAAACTTTATTATAAATGTGTCATTAAAATTTCACATGAAAATAGTTTATATTTCAAATATTTATATTATCTAAGTTTCAACACCTTAATTTCAAATACAAATATTAAATTCTCAAACTTCATTTTTCTGTATCATGAGATTTGTCTGAGCTATAATTTCTCAATTTCAGAAACTTATAACTTCAATAATAAGCTTTTACAGTTTCCAACCAATTATACATGCAAGCTATACATAATTACAAGCAAGAAACTAAAATTTGAACCTCCTATCTTCTCACTTTGCTGAGATATTAGTAAATTTGTCAAACTCACCAGATAAACCACTCTGCTCTCTCTGACTTTCTAAACTGTTTGCTGTTCAACCTTACATGGCTGATGGACATGTTTATAATCAATAGAAATAGCAGATTCTCCTCTACGTAAATCTTACAAATCTGTGTTCAGTTTTACCACCATAAGCCATTAGTTGAGGAGAATGTTTTATTTTGTGTTGATTATATTTGGTGCTTCAAACAGTAACAGAAATGTTTTAACCTATCTATAGCATAGAAAACTGGATAAATTATAGTAGTTTTCAGACATTCTATTTTAATGACTGATATATTTTTTGTTTTCTGTAATAGAGCCTTAAAGCTACTACATACTACAAATTCTTCTTTTGATATGTATATTTTTATTTATTGTTACAGTATTTTTTAAAAAGTTATTAAAATTTAAATATTACAAACTTCTTAATCTGTATAAATTAATGTCAATATCGCTCATTCGGTTCACCTGAAGGAAATGTACAAAAATATTGAACTTCTTTATAAGGTCAAATACAAAGAACATGGTTGGCTACTTTGTGTAGACTTAAATGTCTTTTGTATGTTGTTGGGTCAACAATCTGGTTATACAAAGTTTCCATATTTTTTGTGCGAATGGGACAGCAGAGCACAAAATCAGCACTGGATAAAGATGCAATGGCCATGCAGAGTCAGCCTGAAACCAGGATTGAAAAACATTGAATGTGAAAGTTTGGTTGACACAAAGAAAGTCCTATTACTTCCACTTCACACAAAACTGAGCTTGATGAAGCAGTTTGTAAAGGCCTTAGACAAAGATCGCGACTGTTTCAAGTATCTATGTGAGCAATTCCCAGCTCTTTCAGAAGCGAAACTTAAAGAAGGGATTTCTGTTGGGCCATGGATTAGAAAATTGACTGTGGATGAACAGTTCAAAAGGACAATGAGGAAATTTGAAAAAGAAGTGTGGACTGCCTTTAAAGATGTTATTGACAAATTTTTAAGAAACAACAAAGACCCAAATTACAAAAATATTTTCAATAAAATGCTCGATAAATTCAAAGAGTTGAATTGTAATATGAGCTTGAAAGTTCATTTCTTGCACTCACATATTGACTATTTCCCTGAAAATGTTGGTGCCATCAGCGAAGAACAAAAGGATAAGTTTCATCAAGATATCAGGGAAATGAAGAGGAGGTATTCTTGTATTCAAACAGCATTACATGCCAAATGTGCCATCACTATAAGGGATTAGAGCATACTAAACTTTACACATTATATAGGCTACACTAACGTGACATTTAGGTGGTTTGTTTAAGTGATGTACGTTTTTTTTTGGGGGGGGGATGAAAGTGTTCCAAAACGAGACATTAATTTCTTGATGACCTAAAAGAAGTAAGTGTATATAAGAGAGCATTTCCAAAAATGGAAAGAGGTGGGTGGGGTGCCACTGTGTTTGATTTATTATGTGAGCAATATCTTAGCAAATAGATAAGACCTTCTTATTTTATATTCTAGCTTGTCAATATCAGTCATTTGTGTTTCTAATTCGTACGAAACTACAGACTTAGTATTTTGACTTCAC